TCAATGAACTCTTTTAAGTCCCTTCTTAAAACATACTTTTATAGGAGAGCCTTTCCCGATCTTATTTGACTTTATTTTATCCCTTTTATTCTATTTTACTTATTTTATATTCATCTTAAATGTGTATTTTAGTCTTTAAAATGTTTTCTTGCTTTTATCTTGCATTGTTTCTGTATTGTTGTTTTTTGGGTATTATTGTCTTTACACTTGTTAAAGCACTTTGTAACTTGTTTTTGAAAAGTGCTCTACAAATAAAGATTATTATTATTATTAATTCCCTACATTCTGGAGACATTTTCTGCTCCAATTTATGGTGGAAATGTTGATTTATAAGTTACTTTTTTTGGGACATTTCACATTTGTTTCTTCTGACTTTAAATTGCACTGCATGTTTTCTTATTGTGCAAATAAACCTTTCTCAAAAGTACTTTCTTTTGTTAGGTAATATTTCTTGGTGCAAGCTGTTTTTCAGAATATTTTTAACAAATGCGTTTAAAAAGCGATGGGGACAAAATCAGCCATCTCAAAATGTGGTGGGGACATGTTCCTACTGCAAACGACACCTATATTCAGAGAAACAGCCGCTCTGGGACAAATGTTCTCCTTGTAGACTTGTCTCTCTCATTGGCTATTGTGAGTACTGACATAATAAACCAGATGTTATAGATCCAGTTTTTGTAATACTGGGTCTATAAACCCTTCACATTACCAGTGGGCCCAACAGCCCCAGACCAGTTTTCTCCTCGGATTGTCATTAATCGAGTTAATTGGGAATAAATTGACTCAAAAATCCCGCAGTCTGAGCCGGCTTTAATTATTTGGAAGAGAAAACAAATGTGAAATGTAAAATGATTTCCCAAACTGTCCCTCTAAAGCCCCATTTCTATTTGTCTTTTTGAATGTGTCGTATCTGGATAAAATCCAGATGAGATTTCAGATTCGTTTTTAATCACAAACGTCTCTGCTGGCTTTAATGTCACTGGGTCTTTCTAACCTCGCTCCATAGTGCATTTGATTCAATATCCTACATGTTATTTGGATGTGGACGCAGGGCGCAGAGGGGACTAGCAGAAACAGAGGAGGAACAAAAGAACGAGAAGGAAATGGAAATCAGCTTGTCGCTGCATCAAGATCCAGGAGTAGAAACTACCTGTGTTAGCTGTCTGAGCCCAGTGACACTGCTAAACCCTCAGAGGAGTGAGGGAGGACGGCGGGAAGAGAAAGGTAGGAAATAAAAGTTAGAGGGAATAAGGATGGGACAGGGTATTTAGGAAGGGTGTGAGGAGGTTTGGAAGGTGACAAGCTGTCTCATTCACCTGCTGTACCACACATGACTTCACTTGACGCTTGTCCTGAGGGATGAGAAGGAAGAGAAGAGGGGAACATTGGTAATGCTGGTGCCTGATTTTGATTTACTTTTGGGCTTACTATGTTGAAGAAAATGTCTTTTTAGCCACATTTACTATGACTCAATTCATTTTAGGTTTACTCAAACCAGTAAAAACTATAACACCTGCTAGTGTTGCAGAGCAAGCTTTATGACAGCGGTGCGAGCGTGTTGATATATGCGGGTGAAAGTTGTAGTGTGTGAAAATTTAAAAACTATTTAGCAACAGCAGGGCAAATGATGCTGAATTCAGACACTGAGTTTGGGAAAATGCACAGATCTGCTGAACTAAGACGTTAATTATCCCCAACAAGGAGCAGAGTACACACGTCAGCGGCTGCAGGTCATATCAGCTGTCACTAATTAATGTTAATTCCAAGAGTAACTTCACAACAGGCCAAAATTAAACTTGTGTGCTCTCTGCTGCTGCTGTCTGCACTAACACAACTGTAAACCTGCCAGTGGAGTGTTTCTGTCGTTCCAACAACTCCACCAGAGTGAGACGTCCTCATGTCAGTTTAAAGAGTAACATTTTCACAGTTAAACTTTCGTATCGATGATTTAAGCTTATAAACTGAATTGAACCAGGACCTTCAGTATTTGGATATAAGTATTGGATCGTATCAGCACACACTCATTATTAAAAGGACTCGGATCGGGGCCCAAAACAACTTGAGCAGGACATCACTAGGGCTCCAAATAAATCTCCAAATATAGTGAAAAATGCCAAGCATCATTTCCCACAGTTCAAGGTTATCAGTTCCGATAGCTTGTTTTATCTCACCATCAGTCCAAAACCAAAATATTTTATTACATATCTTTTATTACAGAAGTATGCATCATATCCTGCCACTTGAGAAGATGGAGCCAGACATTTTTGCTTGTTTCTAGATGGTTTAACACTAGTTTTAGGACTTTGGTATGTGTGTATGTTACGCTGACATTATCTTACTTATTTATAAATGTGCTGTCAGCATGTTTAGGTAGTTTTCGCAGCTGCTTTGTTGCTGGTTCTTATCAAGTTTTCAGTGAGCTAGTGGATCAGCGAGGTGAGAAAAACTTCATAGAGGAGCTACAATCTTGAGTTCAATACTCCATATTTTTTTGTTCTCACTCAGTCGGTCAATGCTAAGTAGCATAGCATCAGCTATTCAGCAATGTTTTTGTAGCCTAGCATAGTTTTTCCAACATTTTGGGGGGCTGGTCTGGATCTGGATTAGAAATTGCCAGGGCCGATTTTCTGTCCCTGTCCAGCCCTGAGTCTTACTTTTAAGAATGAGGAGATCTGATCTCTTCTTACTCTACTTTTTAATTTAGTTTTAATCTAGTTTTTGTAGTGGGAATTTTTCCATTGATTGAAAAATTCATTCCACATTGTGTGTGGACAAAATTGGCATTAAAGTAAGAGTAGTAGAAGGTGGGGAAGTAGGCGGGAGGAGAAGGAAAAGAAAGAGATAATACAGCTGAATAATTCTGAATGATTTAAACACGTTCCTGACTAGATGTTACACTGCGCTCACATCTGAAATGGAACCGGCACAAACACACATTTATCAAAAGAAACATATTTTATCATAAGCACTGTTTAACATGTCAAAAAACCCAAACAGACTGTGGCGAACGACTGACTCTGGGGAATCTGAACACGTTTCACTCTTTCTGTTAATTAAAAACGCAGAGTATAATTTAGTTAAATGATGACTTTGAAACAAAGCAGAGGATTTTAAGTAGATTAGGAGGCTGGTACGAAGCCGGGAGGTAAAAAGAAAAAAAGGCACTGAAAGCAAGCTCTGAGGCTTTTGTGTTCAGCCTTCAGCAGATGACAGTTCCCCTCGTCTCGCTCTGAATTATGCTGTTAACACTGTTGTCAGCTCAGTTAATTGGCTGGGAAGATGCTTGGATATTGATACTAGGAGCAGGGCGAGGAATCAAAAAGGAAAGATAATTTTAAACAGAAAAAACTCACAATCACTTTGCACGAGCCGAGAAGTCAGAGCTCTGCGTGCTCTGGGGGTCTCGGGAACAACACAGTCCCAGGTGTGGTGGAGGGGTGCTCTCATTTTCTCTTTTTACCCCCACTCATTTCAATTTTACTTCCAGCATAGAAAGTCGCCCACGCTGGCAGATACCCGACCGCTGGAGAGAAGTGACACAAAAGGCTCTCAGCTTGTGTTTTTATCCCAGATAGGAGCATTTTTTTATCTGAACAAACACTCAGGAAGGTGCTCTTGAACTTGCCTCGATTATTTTGCTTTTTATTTAAAGTCACTCTGCAGGCTTTGTCCCCTGCTCTGTTTTAAAATCAGCTGTAATCATTGCAGCGATTATTTTAAAACCACAATTTGACCCGATATGGAGAAAAAAAACTTTCTGGAGGAGCTTTAACCTTGAATTCAGCGGTTTAGAATTTTTGGTGTGGTTTGATTGAAACACTTTCATTTTTGTTGGGTTTAAGGTGCCGGAGAGGCTCATATCCAGAGGACATCATAAAACAGCCCGTAAACAAAACGGGTTACGTGTAGAAGAAAACAAGATGCAGATGCTTGGAAAGCTAAACGAAACAAATTAAACTATGGACTGATGCTTACAGCTATCTGCAGGAGGAACTACAATCAGGTTTGTCCCTCTGAAGCCAAAATCTTAGACCTGGTGAGAAGTTGCAAATAAGATAGTAAAGGCCAATTCATACTTCTGCGTCAAGTCTATGCAGTCGTGAGGGTACACCGCCAAAAATGCAAGTAGGTTTTCTGAGTTCCTTTGTGTTAACTTCCGGTTTAGCCTCCATTAACTTGAATAGGGGTAAAATGATAATCACGTGGCTCTTGTAGATTTTCCAAGTTTTATCAGACTCGCTGAATCGTATTCTGATAGTGAAAGTCATTTGGAGGGGGGTTGTGACGCTCAGATGAATGTACTGTTTCTTTCACATTGCAAGTACTTGCTTGGGGATTGGAGGAAATGTGATGCTACCAAGTCGACCACGGTACTTGGTCTCTGCGTCACCGCAACATGTGGTTACATGTTTGGATACCGGCTCCAGTGTAGATTTTTGCAAACTGTGTGTCTTTGGTTAGCGAGGTTGCCTTGTCATGGGGCAGTTAAATCAGTTGGCTGAAAGTAAAAAGTAAATGATCGCAATATGTAGCTTAAAGTAATAAATACATGTTCAAATAGATATATATTGTAAACTGCTGAGATATACCTAGAAGGCATGGAAACACTTTGAAATAAACTGCTAAAAGTATGGAGAAACAGTTGAATGTTCAAAGAATTAGATCAATGGTTGACAAAACAAACCAAAGAAGTAAGAATGCAAACACACTGACTGACTAACTGATCTAAACACAGACGGTTTCATTGTGAGGAGAAATTGTGACCTGCTTTAATATAACTGATAGCATCCAGTTTGAAATCCATTCAGTGAACACCTTTGGGACATGATGTCAGTGTAGGAGTGTTGAGTTTATCTGCAGGTCCACCAGACATTAACATTAGCCATAGTGGTAAATCACACTACTGAAATAACTCTCTCTAATTTGGTGGAGAAGACGATCAGCTACGTGTTTGACAGAGTGTAGTGTCACATGTTCTGTCTTAATGCGTCACATCTTACCTCGTTCACAAACACCCAGTGACTGTCTTTGGATGCCAGATTTGTTTCCACCGCCTGCAGACAGAAAGAGAGACAGAAACACGGGGTTAATGACGAAGGCTGCAGCTCATACGATCACAGCGCTGAGATCTTCCTGCGTGGCCTCGATCGCCGAGGAGCAGCTGTTATAGCAAACCACTGCTGCCTATGTTCTCGTCGTCTTTGTCTGATTTGCGGTGTGCTAGTTTGAAAAGTTCACCTCCCCAAAAACAGCGAAGCCCCTGCTTTTTCCACGACGGGTTGTCCTGCCAAAACATAGAGCAACAAAAGCTTTTCAGAGCAGAGCGAGTGGTTTGCACTTATCAAAACCGCTCGGAGCTCGCACAATCCTCTGCCGCTGTGTGATAATCCTAATAACATGCAGCATCCTGCAGACAATAGTGAAGCATGCAGCTGATAGCACAGAGCAGAGCAGCTGTTTAAGTTCTGTGGGTCACCCTGCGCCAAGCTGGAAAAGTTTTAATGTTTAATTTTCCACAGGGAGCAGATGAAATTATATACAGATTACCTGAAAGGAACTTCAATGTGAATGTAAATGTCCTGCAGTTAAATTAGTCTTTTTACTTGTAGGAAGAGTTTGGTACTTTGGTAAGAATGAGGTGAATAGCTTAGCATCAATACTGGAATCAGGAGGACTCAGTTTCCTGAGATCTACGGATTTTATTTTCTTGATGACAGACTTGATGAGACAATTCTGCTTTTTTCTTCTATCCTCTGCTGTTTCATCTCCTCCATCAGTTCAGTTCTTTATCAGTACTCCTATTGGTTATTTTTAAGTACTAAAAGTGATTTTAAAAAATATAATAGCTAAAGAATGAATAAATTCAGAACAGGATTAGAATTTAATATCTTAAATATAACTAAATGTTGTTTCTGTAGCGGCCGCAGTGATGTATACAACAGCAAAGTCACGATATACTACTGTATGTTTACGCTTGTTGAGCAGGTGTATTGATGAAGTATTGGCTTTTTTACTACTACTTTTTTATCTACTGGAGTCATCGTGGCCTGTCTGCTCTGCTGACCGCTGACTTAGCTCCTTGTGTGTTGGTGTAGGAGCTCACGACACAGATTTGTTGGCATAGTCACGGGAATAAAAGTGTGTGTCAGTAGTGAGTTTACTACGTCGGTTTGGATTTTGATGCGTCAGATAAGCAGGACGCGCACCTGTTAACATCCCTGCAGCTTCCAGCACAGCTGTAGCCAGTTGTGATGACAACACTGACATCACGCCTTCCTATAGGCTGTGTGCTGTGACAGTAGCTGGATTTGCGATGCGTTCAAGCACACTAACTTTTATCGGTTTCACGAGCACGCTTTAGAAACAGTGTAAAACAGCTATAAGCGATTTCAAAATCAGAGCAGGAATGCATTTCCACCACTGCTAGTAACACATGCACTTTCCACCACACCCGCCCACGCACACAAAGACACACACATATCAGCACAAATCAGTGTGTGTCGCATCTTTGCTCGCTGTCCTCAGGGCTCAGCCCGCCAGATGTTTTCTAACAGGCTTCCAGATCACCAGACACTGACACACTCATGTAACTCCACACAGTTAGCTTACAGCTCACAGTAGAAACCTGCAGGGAACACAAGAGCTGAAAAACATTTATCAGGCAGTTTAGGTCGAATCATTCTTAAGATGACATTTTCACATGCGTGCTGCGGCGTAGGAGTGCAGATCATGTTGTCAGTGATCAGGTTAACCTATATTAAAAGCCATGCTCTCATAACACACTTCAGATGACATCTCCTACTTGGAGATATCACACCTGTCGCCATAACCTTTACTAGGCCCAGATAGACTGCAGGTACTATCACACACACACGGACTTGAACATGACTCACCTGAGACAGCAGGCGGACCTCTTCCAACCCTTTCATCTCGTTATTTTATGTAACTCTGTGATGTTATTTTAATTCACTCTGTAGGTTTTTACTCCCTGTTCTCTGGTCTAAAACACAGCCTGTCTTGCAGCTACATTTCATTCTGGTTTATTTTCCGGCACTGTGGGCACAGAAATTGGTTATATCTAACAATTACATGTCAACCCTCTGAGCTAAAAAACATGTGTATTGTAGCTTTTTAATGATCCGTGTGGGTGAAGAGGATGGTTGCAGCAGGAGACAGAAACAAGACGGGGCAAACTCTGAAAAGAAAAATAAAAGAATACAAATATCGGGTGCTATTTATGCACAATATAAGAACTAGAAGGACGTATTGACCTTGCCATTCCCTGCAGAGCTACCATACATAAAACGTAAAAATCAAAAACATTTCTTAGCAATTTTCCTTTTATTAAAAGCGAGGTGTGATCCTTTGTTCAAGATACTGTCAAAGATAATTCTTTAGATTTCTGAATTGCCAGATGAATCAAACAACATGATGGTCAGCAGACAGAGACACAGAGCATAAACGACATTCAAGAACAATCTGAGGCAATATTTGCACGCATTTGTCTGAAAATATCGTTTATGCCTGAGAACGAGAAGAAGCAGTGCCGTCAAAAATGATCATTTAGGACAGAACTTATTACATATTAAAGATATCTTGTAGGAGTTTTGTTATGTTCACAAAAGCTTTGTACGTGCTCTTTATTTGAGGCCTACCAAACCTAAATTTCCTTCCTCATAAAACATTAGCCTTAGTTTCTTGGCTAATTTAAATCTAGAGTTTTTACATTCATGCTTGCTCGTTTGCAGTCTTCTTCTTACCTGCCTTTGTTGGTACAGTGCTACATTTCTAGTCACGCTGGCCACAAACTGCTGACCAGTAGACTAGCGTGAAACCATTGGCAGGGGTACGATCAGGGCCGCCCATAAGGGGGAAAGCATTCTGGGGCCCAGCTGCTAGGGGGGGCCCGTGCAGTCCAGCACTAATGATGTTCATTCTAAATATAAGCAAAGATAACCAAAAAACTCAACATAACGTATTAAAATAACATAAATATAGCCTGTTTCATAACGAAAAGCCCCTCTCCTGGTATGCAACGTCAAAACATTAAAAGTGCACCGCATGAATGTGTGTGTTTATGTAGGAGATGGAGAGAGAGCACTGCATGCGCTGACATGAGGCCCATTTACTGCACCTTACAAGGGGCCTCTCTGCAAAGCTGTTGACCTGGCATTAAAGTGTCTCATATCCAGATCTAGACATGATTTTAACCTGATTACATTTTCACCTGCTATTAATATGCATCTCTAGTGTCCACATTAACATCCGATCTCTGTTCGGCTCAAACAACCACACGCCACATCCTCCTCTCGTTTCTGCGGGCCCAAGAGATGACTAACTACTGTATGACTGTATGAAAACTTTCTGAACATCTCTTTCTTCCATGATTTGTTTTCCTCCATACATTTACATTTATTCATCTATCTGACGCTTTTATCCAAAGCGACTTACAATTGCTATACATGTCAGAGGTCGCACGCCTCTGGAGCAACGAGGGGTTAAGTGTCTTGCTCAGGGACATAATGGTGGATGCGTCACAGTGGGGGATTGAACCAGGGTCTCTCACACCAAAGGCAGGCATCTTATCCACTGCTCCATCACCACCCATACACCATGTCTTCCTCTCTTCAGCAGGTCGGCCGGAGAGTGAAACTTATATTCCGCCCGGCATCGTTTCCATACTACCTTTCTTCAAAGTGTGTACTACTTTCTGTTATTTTAGTAGTTTATGTTGAGTTTAACTCAACAGCCTGAGTTCACGCTCAAAAAAACACGTGTATGTTCAGTGATCGGCGCTCTTCAGGCACATTTATGCACAGCATCGTATGGACATACCGCCTGCCTGTATGTGCTGTCAGACTGTCTGGTACGTATTTCTGCCCACGTAGTTGTTGTATGTGAATGGACAATGTATTTGCATTTACACTTGTGTTCAATGTGTACAGAATGCGATAAGAGTCACAGCCCTAGGGAGGCGTCCAGGAGGCATCCTTACCAGATGCCCAAACCACCTTAACTGGCTCCTTTCAACGCAAAGGAGCAGCGGTTTTTGACCAAGTGGAAAAGTAAGGAAGTCCCTGAAACATTCAGATTGATCCTCTGGAGAGAGTGACCACCTGCCATTAGTTGGTTCTAATAATTTGATTAATGATTAGTTTTCAAGATACCAAAGTCACCAAAATATCTATGAATCATGGTTTGGGGACCATGACTATCCCAACCAAATGTCATGTCACGGTGCTGGATTGACAGGCGCACTGGTGTCATCATCTTTAGTCCGCGGGACTCGAGGGGGAATTGGTGATCATCTCCTGAAAGGTGAAGCGACAGTTCCACAGTGACACGCGAGCTGCAGTGCAGTCGCTCACTCTGTCTCGTCCCTCTCTTTGTGGCGTCTGATGAGGTCACAACATGACCGCGGCCCTTCATGCTGCAGCAGTCAGCCCTGTGGGACGGGCGGGAGGATGACGATGATGAAGGCTGACTCACATGACTGACAGCTACACAAATGTGTGAGAAGCTCGGTGCGAGTGAGAGCAAAGAGCAAGATGACACAGAGAAAATCATGCAGACATCAGGCCTGAGGGTCGGGGGAAATGACTGCAAACACAGCGTCCTCTCAACTTGAGACGGTTAGCCTTTTTCCTCTGATCCATGACAGCGCATGGCTCGGCCCGTTTGAAAGCGTCATCTGTCTGAGGAATAAAGGCCAAGTAGAGAATAGAGACATCCTAATTATTTTACCAGCCAAGAAAGTGTTCTTCTATGCTCAACCTAAAGCTCAGTTCAACCATGAGCAAACCTGAGTATGGAGAACTGCAGGAGAATACGTGGTCAAAACCAGTCAAGTGGAAAAAACAACTGAAATACCGGACGGATAATTACATCAACACAGTCTGCAGTCAGTTCCACAGCACAGAGCGATTCATAGAGCCTTCTGCTGTGGAAATATCTCTTTCAACAGACTCCTGTAGTGACTTTGAAAGTCCCACAAAGAGACAGCGGCTATATTTAAATGGAGTTGGGAACAGGAAATCAGTTCCCAATTAGAAGC